TTTTCAATTATACAATCTTACATAAAATAATATTATACACAAATAAAAAACTTTTCATTTTTTTTCAATCACATATTTTAAAAAAAATACTATTCCAACCATTAAAATTTGACAAGAATGGGAGCCAAACGGGGACATATATAGATAAAAATAATTTGTGGATTAGTGAATAAGCTAGCAGGTTTCTCGAAATGTGTAAATAAAATGTGACTTGAACACAAGATTAGATTTTGTGTTATTATGTTTTTTTATTTCATTGTCATCTGCAGAATGATTTTAGAAAAGAGTGAATGAAACAAATATATTTGTGAGAAAATTTGAGAACAGTTCGATTATAGATAAAAGCGAAAATTTGAATCCTGATAAAAAATCACTTAAGAACCGGTTTGTTCAATACAAAAACCAGCCGATTTACAACAAAACTAGCTCATTTATGTTGAAATTTTATTTTTATTGTCATTTCAAACTTGCGATCTTTGGCATTCTAATTAGGAAAATTCTACTTGTACATTATTATTGTACATAATGGTGTCTATAATGTGATGTGGCAATTATCTAGTTGTTGATGTGCAAGTATGAGATTTAAATTAAAAGTTGAATCCAGTGTCACGTGTAATTATTGACACTATTATGTAGGCAATTATGTACATGTAGTACTTCCCTTCTAATTATTTTGCCCCCATTTGGCCCCCATTATCTTTTTCATTCTTTTTCCCCCTCTTATTTTCAACTACACAACCTTCCATAAAATAATATTACACGTAAATAAAAAACTTTTCATTTTTTTTAACCACACATTTAAAAAAACACTATTCCAACCATTAAAATTTGGAAAAAATAAGGGCCAAATGGAAGCTTTATTTGGTCATTATTCAGATTGATTTTGAAAACATTGAAATAAATTCAAGCAAAAAAAATTCTTGTTAACTTATTTAACGTGTAATTAATTATTATAATTAAGGCATATTAGTTAGTGATTATGAGAATTAATTTTTTGATCGTTAGAGAGAAAAATGAATTCTAACTATGAGTGAAGAAATTATTTTCTTTTTATGTGAAAAATTGCTACCAGTCCCATTATTTGGATTTATAATGGGGAGTAGTGTTTTTTTTTTTTTTTTTTAAAAATAGATGATTGTAAAAGAATGAAATTTTTTTATTTGTATGAAATATTATTTTATTGAGGATTGTATAGTTAAAAATAAATAAAAAAATTAAATTAAAATTAATGAGTTTACGGGGCCCAAACGGGACTTAGAATGACGTGCATTTCACATGGTCATAATTTCAAAATTTCTCCTTAATTAGTGGGCTCAAATTCATCACCGCAAATTTCAATTTTGCGGATCCAAAATTACATTACGTATGTATATATTCTCTCCACATTAATAGTCCCTCTGTCCGAAATTTTCTCTCCCTGCATTTCATCCTTTCTGTCAAAGGCATCAACAATGGCAGAACATCACTCTCTCTCCGCTCCGCTGCTGTCCGCGCTACCATCGGACCATAAGCCCCATTTAGTTATCAACGTTCAGGACCCGATCCCTGACCAGACCGAATCGACGGCCCTTCAGAGCCAATCTGCCCTACTCCATTTGCAGCAAAACGGCGAAAGTAATAACAATCGGTCGAACCCGTTTGAGTTTATCGGGGCCCATGAAAGTTTCGAATTGCCCAGTTATAGTACAATCGATCCGTTCCGGAACCACACGTTGAATATCGCAGGGGTTTATGAGTGGGTGAAGATTGTGATTTGTCTGCCTATCGCCCTGGTCAGGCTTGCGCTCTTTGGGCTTTGCCTTGCGGTGGGATTCATGGCAACGAAATTGGCGCTTCACGGGTGGAAGGATAAGGAGAACCCAATGCCCAAATGGCGCTGCCGGCTCATGTTGGTCACTCGCATTTCTGCACGTTTAATCCTCTTCTCCTTTGGGTATGCAGTTTTTAAATGTATGTTAGTTGACAAAAACATATTTTGATCATGTTCTTTACGACTCTCTCTCTCTCTCTCTCTCTCTCTCACGATGTTACTTGTCGTAGTTGCATACCATATTATCTAAAAATATTAAATTTATGATTTTTGTGGGTTGAGAAGGGTAAATGAAATCCGTTAAAAAGGATCTTGATGATCTAGTTATGAAAGTTTTCTTCTATTTCCCCGCTTTTCCCCTTTATTTTATTTCATAGTTATTTATTTTTTGGGATTTACTGGCCATCATATGCAAGGGTAGTGCTGTGCATAATCAGAAACCTTGATTAACTATGAAATAAAATGAATTTTGGAAACTTCAAGCGGATATCTTCTACGAAATTTAGCAAGTTAATCGTTATTTTAATGCTAGTCAAATATTTTTCTTGTCAACAGAACCATTAGAAATTTATACGAGTATTTTACGTAGATAATGCTATTTCGAGGGGCAATTAATGCACAAGTTAATACTTGTTGTCTCAACCACGATAAATTTGTCATCTTCACGTTAAAGTGCAGGAAATGTTTGCACGATATTTGCAGAGAGAAGCTTAGATTACCAGGTGACTAGAATAGCATGGTGCTAGGAAACGTTGATTAGAAATTTTCTGTTCTTGCTGACAAGAAATCTAGAGTTTTTCTCTGCACATGAGATCAAGTCTTTCAGTGTTCCGAAGATTGGGACCAAGAAGACAATCCACCTGTCTCTTCCATTTAAAATATTAGTACATGAACATGGTTCTTAGAAGAATTCCTCATCTGCTTGTGATTGGATTGTGTGCCACAGTGGGAACCGTTGAGCAATCTTATCTGTGGTGTAAAGATTGTTGAAATTAGACATAGTTGTTAAATGTTAAAGACGAGTTGAAAACTTATGTCTCATTTTTTTAATTTTTTTTTCCAAATACATAATTCATATGGCAATACAAAACTGACACCTGGGTTAATGGTGTCTTTTAATTTTAAAAATGATGCAAGTGCAATCATTCCCTGCACTTGTGGTTTGGAATGTTACAGATATAAATGAGTTTAGTTTAGGATCATGGAGATGAATTTGGACTCTGTCGGGGAAATAAAGACATGTAATTTATGATGATGGAGTAGCTAAGTTTATATGGTTTTTTATGATTGACATTACTTTTCTTTTACTGCACAAGTCTGCTTTGAAATTAGAAACTAATTTACTTTTGCTTTTTAACTTTGCAGCTACCATTGGATAAAACGAAGAGGAAAACCTGCTCCGAGGGAGATTGCACCTATAGTTGTATCTAATCATGTATCATATATTGAACCTATTTTCTTTTTCTATGAATTATTTCCCACCATTGTTGCTTCTGAATCGCATGATTCCATGCCTTTTGTTGGAACCATCATCAGAGCAATGCAGGTATTCTTCTACTCCTTAAAATCTTTACTTACTGGCTACATTTCATGTATACCCTTGTTTGAGCCCCACTTTTTTGGTTAAAAATATATTTTGAAATAGTGATTTTTTTTTAGAATGTGCAGTTGGGAAAAAAAAAAAAAATTCGATTTACGTCTAGTATTATTTTATCGAAGAATATGAGGTTAAAAAGAAGAAAAGATATAAATGTAATTTGACGAAAATGGGGTTCAAACAAGGGCATGGTAACCTTTTGCCTTTTTTGGTTTGGTGGGTGGACACAGCTTATATGCTAGATACACAATAAATCTTTTTCACTTCTAAGTTCTACATTTTTGTTACATTTTATCTATAATTCCATAGGTGATATATGTTGATAGATTCTCAAGATCATCCAGAAAGCACGCTGTCAATGAAATAAAGGTATAAAGCGTCTGGTCTTTGTTTTCCATGTTCTGTTTTGAACTGAAACATTGAAACATTAAATAAGGAAGGCAACGGGACGGGGCTGGGCGGGGCAGCCTTTACCATCCTGAATTTTCGGGAGGCAGGACAGGAGTAGGGTGAGAGGATTAAAAAATTCACATTTACCATCCTGTTTGATGATTTCTAATATTATGCCCCTATTTGGTGTAGATTAAAATCTGATTTTTAGTAAATTTTGATAAAAGTTGATGAAATGTTGTGGATTCCATGAAATATGTGGTTAGAATTAGGTATTGACTTACCACTGAGGTGAGTATCGAGCTGTAATTCAGGGGTCATGGGATTAGTGAAGATGCGCGTAAGCTGACCCAAACATTCACAGTCATTAAACAAAAAAAAAAAATAGTTATTTTTTAAATACGATATAAATTGTAAAACAAAAAAAATGAAGTAAAATAAAAAGATTCATGGCATGTCCAGGGACTTTGGGGTAGGGACCATGTTTTCCATCCTCGCCCCCATTTACTAATCAGGACCGTTTAGGGCATGGCAATACGGGGCAGGTCAAGGGTACGGAATTTTCCATCCCTAACATAAGACGAGAAAATGAAAAAGGTTCTAGTGGTTTAAAAATTTGTGTTCTGATATGGGAAAAAGAATTTCAAGCTTTAAAGTTTTATCAATATATAAAGCAATTTGATACAGAAATGTGTTTCAAGGAATTGAATACAGAGAAAAGCTTCTTGCAATCAGTTTCCTCGACTGCTTTTATTCCCCGAGGGAACGACAACAAATGGAAGGCTTCTTATTTCTTTCCAACTTGGTGCATTCATCCCTGGTTATCCTGTCCAGCCAGTCATTGTTCGTTATCCGTATGTGCACTTTGACCAATCCTGGTAAAGTCCCTTCTTACTCCCCAGTTGTGTTTTCTGAACATGTCATATGTTTTCATATGGGCTTACTTCACATGATTCAAAATTTTGTTCAGGGGACATATTACTGTTGCAAAGCTGATGTTTAGAATGTTCACCCAATTTCACAATTTCATGGAGGTATATTGAATTTGTCTCTTTACGTGTGCATCTGTGTGCTTGATCCATGTTTCATTTGTTTTGGTTACATGTTGTCACTCAAACAGTGTAACGTGGTACCAGGAGGCCCAAAAAGTTGCAACCCCTGCTCCTTCCCGCTAATTGTATGTTGTTAGTAAATGGCTAGTGGATGAGGCGCTCTATGAAAATAAAACTCTTAAGCTTATTTCAATATTGTTTCAGTGTAATTTAATTATGCTCTTGAACTGTAGAGTTTAATGGACCATTTTATGCTGCGAGTATTGGATAAGAACTTTGAGCTTCGAGAGCAGTTCATATAATTGGCAGTCTTTTCTCACAAATAATATATCATGAAATGTTTTACCTGAGAAAGTTTCTTATATTGGTATAATTTACAAAGGAAGAGAGAGTCTTTTAACTCGAGGAAGCCAGGCATACCTAATTGTAATTTTTCCTTATCGACCATTATGAGGTCCCCATCGATTCGTGTGGTTTTCCTTCCAGTTAAGTTTAATATATTTAGAACTAATGCCATGTTGATCTGAAGTAATCACATACATCTATCTTGCACAGGTTGAATATCTTCCTCTCGTATCCCCCCATGAAAATAGGAAGGAAAATGCTATCCATTTTTCTCAGAGGGTGAGTTAAGTCTAGTAGTTTTTATAAGATTTGCTTCATTAATATGTGTTCTGATATTCTTTAATCTTCTCCCTTGTGCTTATATATGGTAGTGTCTTAATATGATATACATTAAAACATGTCCAGTTATATGCACATGTTGTCAGCTGTTCTTGCACTAGGTTACCGAAAATGAATATATCTGCCATTTGTTTGGATGAACCTTATTTTTAATGCATTTGTTTTCTCAAAGCTTTGCTGAAATTTCTGAATGGCATATATTACAAGTTCCATGCGGCTGAGGTTTCTCAATTTATGTATGTGCAAATGTTTTGCATTAATTTTTCAGTTAGGAATAACTGGCTTGTTCATTACCTCATTCTCGTGATCTTGGTACTTGAATTGACTGGTTTTTACTTACAACCACTTGAGCAATGATCCTCCTGTCTGAGTTGCTTAAGCACATTCTTATACCACACCAAGGTGGATATCTCTAATACTTTTTCTTCCAGAGGCTATTTCTCGAAATATTAGAACATTGCATAATTGTACAAATTATCAATTTAGAATTTTTTTTTCCGACTTACTTGACTTTTTTTAACATGTATTTATTTTTCCATATGGATTTGCTTAAAAATGTTGTATGAGATCACCCTTTGTCTTACTTTACCAATCCACATATTGCATTGCTATCTCTGCTCAATTTGCACTATTTATCAATGCAGACTAGCTCTGTCATGGCAAGTGCTCTCAATGTGGTACAAACATCCCATTCTTATGGAGATTTCATGCTTTTTGCAAAGGCATCCGAGTTGAATCAGGTTTGCTATTATTTCCCTCACCGGTCGAAATTGATGAATAATTAGTGTTAAACAAAGATAAGTTGTTATTAGAGTTTTTAAATGGAACTTGGAAAGTGTGAGTATTTTTATAACTGTGCAGGTTTTACATCTTTATTTTTCATTTGACCTCATGTCATTAAGCAAATAAGACTGAAGTAGCATATGCATTATCTGATGGATGCCTTGTATCTGCTCATAGATGTTGTAATCTGACTATTTTATTAGTAAACGGGGTAGGGATGTTATTAACTTGACGTTTGACTACTTTTGGCTCATAGTTGCCTGATACTCGTTCATGAGAAGATAAAAAGACTTTATTGCTGTGTCGCATAGTAATCAACTTATTTGCACATTATGCCTTTTGAACTTCATGATTACGTTACAATTATTCCTTTTCATTTTTTCCGACACTTTATTTACTCACGTTCCTTATGAACATCAGTTATTTGACATATTTTTGAAGAAAAATAATATTTTAGTGATTGAACAGACGCACTACATCATGGATGCTTGTTCTTCAGTTACAATTATCCCTTTTCCTTTTTTCGGACACTTTATTTATTCATGTGCCTTTTGAACATCAGTGACTTGAAATATATTTCAAGAAAAAAAAAGAATTTTATTGATTGAACTGAAGTACATGGATGCGTCTCCTTCCCTTTCAGCAATGGTTACTATGTAAAGTTGGTATTTACTATGTTCGTGTTGTCTATATTGTTGTCAATATTCCGTAGGAATGAGATGAATCTAAATGAATCGCCACGTGAACAGCAGAAGGCATGGAACTAGATGTGTCTATTTGTAGATGTTAAACTATTGACTTGGCCCCCAGAACTGGTTTACGTTTACACGATTAGATTACTTTGTGCGATGGATTTCTGGTTGAGGAAATTTTGAGAATGTTTTTGTTGAGTTGTTGGATTAAAGTTTTTTGTCTCGGAACTTAAGTTATTTGAATAGTTTGGCCTCATGTAGATATTAACAATATGTTTTGTCAGGAAAACCCCACTCAATTTATGGTTGGAATGGCGTGGGTGGAATCAGTAAGTCAAATATGCCATCAGTTATTTTATTCAATTAATTTGTTTGCATTTTTACTATGTTATTCAAATTACTTTCAATTAATATGTTTTGGACGTCTGCGTGTTAATTTTTTCTCATCTCATTATCTAAATTCTTCTGACCTTTGATAATTCATTTGAGATGGATAGATGATAGTAAATTAATTAATGAAAGAGGCTATTGCTTTAGTTCTCTTCTTCCAGTAATTCACAGTGCAATTTATATTCTGGGAATTATTCGTGAAGACAAGTTTTATCAATGTTGAGATGATGTAGGAGTTGTTAGGAAATAGACTTATTATGATCTTTTAGACAATGGTGTCTGGAGAATGTTAAAAAAGCTTTTTAATACGTTTTTATATGATATTGTACTGAAACTGCTATGAGCTGTCACCTGTTTATTTTGTTTGAAAGATTTTAATGGAGAATGCGAGTTGCATCAGTGCTTATGAACTCTTATATTGATTTATTCTGTAATATATAATATATATTTGTGATAGGTTCACTCCATTTCTTCATTGTTGTTTGACACAGAGTTTCTGTTGCTTTGCAGTCATTTCATATAAAAACTTTGGAGGCCATGGACTTTTTGGAGACATTTCTATCAATGAATCCAGATCCAAGGTATCATGTGATGCTCCAATATGCTTAATTTTATTCGTTGTTATGAAGTGTGTATGATTTATGGTTTTTTCGGATTGAAACGGTTCATGCTTCTTATTTTAAAGAAAGTAAGAAGGGCTTTGCTAAGGATCAGTGTCTATCCTTGATCATTTATCCATTCAAACAGAGAGAGTCTCTTCCTTATTTTCTCTATTGAAAATGAAGAATTTTTTCTGACAATGATAAAAACTTACTGCTGATGGCTTTCCATTCTCTTCACAGTGGACAGGTTGAATTTCACGATTTTCTCAGGGTTTTAAGATTGAAACCTTGTTCTCTGTCGGAAAAGGTAAGGCTCTGAATTTATTTTTATTTTAAATTAGTTTTCTGCACCTTGCTCGTGATTCTTTTCCTTTCACTGTTTTGGCAAAATGGTGCTTTCCATGTTTCCTAATTGTTTTTCTTAGCGATGACATTTTAAGGATTTAAATAAATGTTAACAGTTGAAGGTGTAATGTCCAGGAATGGTAAATATAAGATCATTTTTAAATCTCTCTATTTCCTCGCTGTGCAATATGTGTTCTTACTGGGTCTGTTGTGCAGGAAGTTGGCTTGAAATTGTCTGATTTATCATGATTTTATTTAATATTCTTTTTATATTTCAAGGACCATGGTTTTCTTATTTTAGTACTTACCAGTTTTAGGAATTTGTGTAGATTTTATCATAGAATAACTTCGTCATAGAATATCAGTATTAAATTTGACCATGTAATACAAACAGATGATATTATGTCAGTGAAAGTAGTAGTTGCCTTTTCAGTGGCTAGGATTGCAAATTCATTCAAAGATGAACTTTGTTTTCTGGTAGTGTTAATGATGCTGCATCTTTACTAATTTTCTTAATCTCATTCCCTGATTTTGCAGATATTTGGATTCATTGATGTGGAGAAGATCGGTAAAATAACATTTAAGCAGGTAATTTACTACTGTTTTTTAATATTTGTACATACTTGTGACTTTATGTGCCACACACTCCTGTATCATTCCCAGAAACACCTAAATTCTAGTCTGATGCATCTTTAGGAACTGTGCAAAAGTAACCAAAAAGAAATTCAGAGTCAGATATATGTTATACTTTTTTAGATAAACTTTGAGATTAAGGCACAATTTATCATGCATTGAGATTAAGTGCTTGTTTGGATGAATTATATTGTGATAGAAATGAGTGGTGGATTAGTGGGTAATAATTGTGGGTCCTACTAAATATGTGGTTAAATGAAGTTATGACTTGACCATTAAATTACAAGGAAATTATAATGTTTCCAATATATGCACTGAGGTTTTACCATGCAATACTTAGGCTACTTTTGTGCATGTTGTTTCAGTACCTGCTTGGCTCAGCCCACATCTTGAAGCAGCCACTCTTCAAACAGGCTTGTGAACTAGCCTTTATTGAATGTGATATTGATGGGAAGAATTGCATTTTGAAGCAAGAGGTATGGATTTTCCCACCGAGTCCTTGACACTTAATTGTTTAATTTGTAGTGTCATGATTCTGAATGCTTTTGTGACAGCTAAGAGATGCAGTTACACTCGCAATCCCAAATATGAGTGAAGATGAGGTGGGTGAAGGAAGCATCTGCACACGAGTTTTACCCCCTTTTTTTCCTTATAAAACTGTAGTCTTATAGAATCATTTCGAAGCACATAGAACAGGACTTAAAAGAGATTCTCAAAGATGTCATAATTTTTTACTACCTGGAAAAATGATACTTTGGTTAATAATTTTTATAGCTCTTAACTAAATTAAACTTTCTTTGGATTGTGAAATGCATATAATTTCTATAATTTTCAATTTCTTCTCCAATCCTTGCTTAAATTTTCTCGATTTGAGACTTGCAGATCTCTTTGCTTCATGGTTTATTTGATGTGGACGGCGATGGAAGAATCAGCAAATATGATTTCCTCTCGAGTTTAAAAAGACATCCGTTGCTTATAGCACTTTTTTCACCCTGGTTATGGCACAAAGGTTTGACCATAGCTGATCATAGATAGGTTACTAAAGGATGTGTTGTAGTGGATGGATGATGGGTAATGCCCAAAGTTATAGCTTTTTTGTGAATGATTTTGGGGTGTATTTCTAAGCCATTTGAAATGGACGATGGCAGTCGAAACTTAGTGATTTTTCTTTCAATTTCCGTACTCTACAAGATAAAAGGAGTGTTGATTGTATTCACATATTAGTATAGTATTATTGCCATTAGCTGGATCCTTCACATTGTGCTTGGTTATCTGATGCAGCTGATTCCCCTGGTTTAGAAGAAAATTACCTTTCTGTGGTGATCTTCAAGTTGTTCCATCATTATATTTGTCTGCATTATAGGAGCTCATAACTTATCACTAAAGTAGCGAGGAAGAAGAAAAAAGGTTAAAACCTTTGCGCACAATTTATGCCTCTGAGATTGGTTTAACGAACAAAGAAGTTGCGTAATCCACAGAGAGTATAACAGCAGAAAAATCCACCTTTGCTTCTTCATGACTTGTACCAAATCCGTATAAAAGAAGAGTTTTGGTTCGTTGACACTGAATTTTGTCGAAACAGGAATCTAAATTGACAATGAGTTCAATTCCTAAACTTCATGTATCTTTTCTCCCCTTTCCTTGAGAAATGTTAACCCGACTAACTTGTTGAGCGCTTCATATAAAAGTTTAAACTTCTAGAGTGGGTTTCTTTCTTTATTTAAGTTTTCTCTTCAAGTCACACATCCATGAAGCGAAATTCATATTTGTTATATGATGCATAAATTTCATGAGGGGAAGTGGGATATGAAAACATGATCTTTGTGTCTACTTTGTCTATAGGCTCGTGACTGCTGTTACATTAAAAATATACTTAAATATTTAAATTTTGACTTCAATAAATCAACTACAACCGAACTAAGTACTAATAATTATCCACAAATATGCCTCTCGGGGCATGGTCCAGTAGTGCAAAGGACAGTAGTGAAGTTATCTCATATCTTGTTGACAGTCGTAGTGTGGAGGTTCGATTCCTGAAACATGGAATTGGACTCTTTGTAAGCGCAGTGTATAGGCAGTTCTTGTTTCCTGACATGTTGGGGTATATCCCGCGATTTGCCTCCCTCACAAAGCTCTAGGGGCGGGGCAGTAGGGGCCTTCCAGGTTGGGGTTCAACCTTTTTTTTTTTTTTTTTTTTTTTTTAAAATTATCCACAAATATAGAAAGTAAAATTATATGGATAAATAGGAATCTAATCCATTTCCACTCCGAGTTAATAATGAGATTGTGAAAGAGATATGAAAAGGCGCTTTTTGAGTGAAGACTTTCATTAGAACGTACGTATGACCCACCTCTCAACCTTAAAAAATTGTTTCTGCACTGAATTCTGCTAGAGAATTCCATGCACGACTGCTATGAAGAACACTACATGATTCAATGCATCAATCTCATTAGTTTTACTGGTTTATAGCAGCCAACGTTTGTTTTACTTTGAGAATAGACTCGGTGTGTATCATGTTACTGTTGACAAAATTTGAGTTTTATCTACTGGAAATATGACACGTATTGATTGATAAATTGGGTTTTTGTAGCTTCTCCTGTAAAGCTTTATTATTATTATTATTTTTCGTGTGATGTGACATGATTCTGTTGTTCCCACAATTTGCTCATCTTTATAGCACAAAACAGCCTTTTAAGACCACCAGCATTTGATCTACCTTTTTCTGTATAATTCTTGAGCAGAATTCGTTGGGGATTTCTTCTGCTCCCCAGTTTCAAAAAACTTAAATTCTCCACCACTATTGGTCTTCCAATTACATGAACCTTGAGCATCAAATCCTAGGCATTGACTCAACTAGACGATGAAATTATTGAACAAAATTTTTCTTTCGGCCTCAATTTCGGTCGTGTATAATATGCCTTAAAATGGTGGGCTTGGAATTCCTTAGGTTGAAAGGAGAACAGATGAAACTCCCTAGTCTGAATATATTTTGCCCCATAGAAAAAGAAATCTATATCAAACATAAAAAAAGATGGCATGTTCAGAGAGAAATTGTTTATATCCGCTTGTTGCATGTAAAACTTTTGCCTGGATACTTCTCCTTTTCTTGATGTAGAATTATGACAAAAAAAAAAAAAAAAAAAAATCTTAACAATTTAATATAGTATTAGAGCCTTATAAAAGATCACTGTCATCCATTTATAAAAATTTTACACATTTTTTTATCCTTTGATCAAAAACTAAATTCGGTTTGCACAATTGGGCGTATTAAAGACAAGATCAAAATGAAAATGTTTACTCTTTTTCCTTTCTCTAACATCTCAAGCTTTTAGACACGTGATTAACAAAATTAACTTCCTTTCCAGTATGATGCTATGTAGGTGAAGGTACCACTGTGGTGAAGAAAATAGGATTCACTTTTAAGAATTATTTTCCTTATTCCAATAAACATTAGTTACATTTATTTGTACCAGTAATTGATTTATGGACGTGTGCTCTATTTTTAACAGTTAGGGAAATGGAAACCAAACTTCCTTTTGGTTTTCCCCCAAAACGACTCTGATGAAAATATTTCTTTCTTTTAGGAATGGTGTTGACCTCCAAAAACGTGTCAATTTCACAAGATTTTGATCAGAAAATCAACTGGGTATACGGTTACTAGTTAAATATACACAAGTATATAAGCAAAATGTTCATGATTGTTAGTGTATTAAGAGAAGAGAAGATAATGAGAGTAAATATTCATAGAAAGGAAATTGTAATACTCCGTTTGGGCGTATGAAAATTCACCCTTTACAATGTTACAAAGACTTCTATTTATAGTAATCAGGCCGACGTGGTCACTGTTGGATCAGATCCTTGTGGCTCAATCTGCTAGATTGAAGTGTCACATTATCCTATCTTATATTAATTACATTGACAAACACATTTAATAAGGGGTCAATCTTCCTACACTCTTAGGTTGATATACTTGACATTTATTTAATGAGAACGTCACATTAATCATTTCAAAAAATACACTCATCAAACCTGCTCTAAAGAGCCTCGGGATTCTGATAGGGTGCTCAATATGCAAATGACGTCTACATGACGGGGACACGGATGGAATTTTGTTGGCTTATTTTTTGGAGTCAACAAATGGTAAATTAATATGAAAAGAAAAACGTCTACACTCTCGACTTAAATTAATGAAGAATTACTACTATTTTTGTCAATGTCAAGAGTACTTACAGCATGTTAATATGCCTGTAGTTAGTGCGTTTATGGTGAACTGAATTTAGGCAATATTCTTTCCCTATCTTGTGTTTCAAAATCCAGACGCTGATCACTATCTTTTATCTGTTGGGCATCTTGTTCCTCTGCTTCCGAATTGTCTCGTCAATTTTATTTGATGGTATTGTAACTTTGCTTAAAGAACATCATCAAATTTTGTGTCAACTCAAACGTACTAATTGTACTGAAAGAGGGGTAAAAGAAAAGGAAAAGAAATCTATTAACTTTAATCTGGCTCGATTTATTCCACCTAATTCAAACTCCCATTTTGCGGTTCCAAGAGAAAAACTTAAAAAAGAAAACCCATTGTTCTCCTCGAGATTGATTCTTTATAACATATATAAGGTATTACAGACAAATATTTTCCTATGGTACGATGATAACGGCAACTCACACCACGTTAAAAGTTAAAACCCACAAGTCCTATGTTTGGCCATACAGTAAATTTTGGCAAAAAATCCAGAGAAACTAGTAAGAAAAAATTAATACTGCAGTGTCAGAATACGAGGCAGAATAGTTTTGCTTTCATCTTCCAATCATTTGTGAGATGACAAGTGAGTGAAGTCAATAAGATTCCATACTTAGTTTTATCGACCTCCCCAATAAAGGCCCTTGGCTTTATTAATACAATTTGCCTATCTTACAACCTTATTACATAACTCTTTTCTTGTCCTCTTTTAAATTCTACTCTCACTAAATACCTTCCCAATTTTATTACTTCTGAAAGCTGATTTCAAATCACAATCCCATTTTGATTATAATGTCAAATGAAGATAATTCTTTGGTTTTTGATGCATCTGTTTTTCAACATCAGTACAATATACCATCACAATTCATATGGCCTGATCATGAGAAACCTTGTCCCGAGCCACCACCAGTACTAAATCTCCCTACTATAGATTTGGGTAGCTTTCTCTCAGGCGATGTGGACTCTGTTTGGGGTGCAACTTGTCTAGTCAACCAGGCATGTAGAGAACACGGAGCCTTTCTCGTTGTAAATCATGGGGTCGATTTGGAACTTGTCGAGGAAGCTCACAAGGGAATGGACTATTTCTTTGGGAAGCCACTTGATGAGAAACAAAGGGCCCAGAGAAAAATTGGTGATTATTGTGGTTACGCTAGTAGCTTTGCTAACAGATTTTCTTCCCAGCTTCCCTGGAAAGAGACACTTTCTTTTCGTTACAGCGCTGATCTTCAGTTGTCTGACATTGTTGAGAGATATTTCTTGAATGTGATGGGCGAGAATTACAGACAATTCGGGTATGAGTTGGCTCTTGTTGGATTGCTTCATCTAAAAACTTAAGTTGTTTCGATGTTTCTCATTCAAATCTTACTACATGTACATCAAACCTTACATAATGTCGCGTAACACTCTAGTATTGGGCAACTTAAAACACGGGCAACTTTTTCATCTAATCATTTCACCATATTTCATCTTCTGGCACACTTTCTAGATGTCCTTTTCTGGACTAATAGGGTAATCCTTCTCATTATATATGTGTTTATTTTTCCATTTTTTTGCTTGTCAAAGGAGGGTTTGCCAAGAATATTCTGAAGCCATGAGCAGTCTTTCTCTTAACATCATGAAGCTCCTGGGAATGAGCCTTGGGGTGGGGCCAGCTTGTTTCAGAGAATACTTTGAAGGAAATGATTCTATAATGAGATTAAACTACTATCCTCCATGTCAGAAACCTGATCTAACTCTTGGCACAGGCCCCCATTGTGACCCTACTTCCTTAACTATCCTTCATCAAGATAATGTTGGTGGCCTTGAAGTTTTTTATGATGACAAATGGCATTCCGTTTCTCCCAATCCACAAGCTTTTGTAGTCAACATTGGCGACACATTCATGGTAAGTTAAAAACTCTCTCAGAGCACATGTCGAGTACGCAGTATTAGAGGTGACTGACTGTCAAAATATTTTGCAGGCCCTGTCGAATGGGATTTACAAGAGTTGCTTGCATAGAGCAGTTGTAAACAGTAAAGTTCCAAGGATATCCATGGCATTCTTTCTTTGTCCAAAGATGGACAAAATGGTAAGGCCACCAAAGGAATTGGTATGCGAAGAAAATCCAAGAATGTATCCAGATTTCACATGGCCGGCTCTTCTTGAGTTCACACAGAAGCATTACAGAGCTGACACGAAAACGCTTGAAGTTTTCACCAATTGGCTTCAACAGAAAAGCAGTCAAGATACTACCACATTGAATGGTTAAAGATAGAGAAAAGACTAATTACAAGAACTTCACAAAGACGAGAAAAAAGAAGAATTGCATTTTGTAGGGTATTTAGAAGAATAAGGAAGCCAGAGAATGAACTGGAAAGAAAGGCAATCAGAGCCGTACTGTTACAGAATTATTCCGTCCTTGATTTTAAGAAGGAAAAAAAAATGGAAATTTCCTATTTTGCATGGATAAAGAACTTTAAGGGTGGTTATAATGTATAGTCAACTGTGACTCGTTTGCATGTTGATATTTTTTACTAAAACAAATATTAAACTAGTTTTGACTTATGAGATGATTGAGAATTGAGCTCTTAATTACATTCAATTCCTTTTCATTTTTCTTTCCACTTAAGCCCAAGGTATCAAAATTTTGAGTATATTTTTCGAGAAGCTCTTTATGAGTTTTCATTCTCTCTTTTAGAGCATCAATCCTTATTTTGATAAGTCGAACGAATTCTCTGTGTGTAAAAAAGAAAAATAAAGAGTAAATTTGACTTTTCAAATGTAGAGAGCTAGCCCCACCTCTATATGCTTTCATACATTGTTTCATAACTTTTCATGCGTTTCGTTGCAGGAAACCAGTTAAAAAAAGGAAAATGTTGGTTAATAATTGTTTGTGGAAAAAGCAAAAAATAATGAGTACAAAGAGTGTCGTAGAAATTGTGTATTCTTTATTTTTGAATTTTTTTAAAGATCATCTTAAATTGGAAATTATACTCATTAAATAAAAAGTATTATTAGAGCTAACATGTAGCAACAACAAACCTCTGGGCTTAAGTTTCTGCATAATACCTCTAGTTTAATGCAATTACAATCAGACACAAAAACATTATATTGTAAAGGGTTCCAAAAGGACCAGAACTCACCTTATTGTTTAGCACATATAAAAGGCACAAATCGAAGTTTTATTATTGTACCTAGCCTCTCATTCTTAAGAATCAATTTGTTAATAGGAGTAATTCAAATTCTTATATGCTAATGATTACAATTGCTATCCTTATTTAAATTTGTGGGATTTTAAATTTTAACATATCTCACGAGATGATGTCTCGTTTGAAAACGCCAATCTTGAATTCGATTTCTTGTAAAACCTTTACTAATTAATCAAATGTTAATTTGAACTTTTTGTGTCGCTTGCTTAGTAGTGCTTTTAAATACATATAAGTTGTGAATTTTATAAAATATGAGTTATGGAAGGTGAGATATATAAAATGCATGGACGAAGTTAAAATTGAAGCTTTATCAAACATAGATAGAGTCTTGATTTAAGATTTAAATTATGTATTGACAAAGTGACATTATATTCCCAATATTAATGCAATATATATTGAATTCTGGGATCTTGCAATACCGTTTTAATTAAAAATTTGATTCTTCCCTTTTCTTTTTGTCTGAATTCTAGGAAAAATTAGGTAGTGTTTGGCATTCCTGTAATTTAAAAGAATCAATTCTACCCATATTGAAAAAATAATTAGTTCAGGAAAGAATAAATTAAGCACTTGGTAAAATTTGTTTTGAAGCTGTAAGTTTCAGAATCGGAATTTAAATTTTGGTAAATAAAAGTTCTTTTTTTACGGTAAACGATAATTAAAATATACATTGATTGGTGTCTTTTGTATTATTATTAACAAGTAATATTGTAAAATTTATTTTTACTTCTAAAGCAATATGTAATATTATTAAATATATGTCTAAGCCAAATATTTACTATAGAAATATAATAAATTATTTATTAAATCTGTGTGAAAAACCCTAACCCTATTGTATTAGGTCTCCCACAGTATCTTATTTGGATATGAAAGAAATTTTTGTCAATTAAAAACTCTTATTCAAATTGAATTTCTACAACTCATTTCCATTTTTAGAAACAATTCATTTATTAGTATCAAAATATGAAATGTGCTGCAAAAGTAAAATATAATATTTCTCTGTTTTCTTTTCATTAAATCATCTTGGAGATCTTGTAAAGTTCATTTTTAAGCTTTTCGTATATATCGTAGCTTTTTTTTTTTTATTTTTATTTTTATTTCACTCTTTATTTTTTTTTGGATTCAATATTTCCAGTGATCTAAGACATAAACTTGGATATGAGGAATTAAATTCAGAGGGATTTTCTTGGTTAATTTTCAATTTTTCTTAGAATTTTATCTATTCCACATGTTTAATTAGAACTTGAAAATTTCAAAAAAGATAAATAAATCAAGTTATCAATGGAAACAAAAAGAGATGGATTTAAATCCTCGACAAGTATAAATTGTACTGTAGATTATAATAGAATACCAAAAAGCATATAATAGAAAAGAAAATAATTTTATTTATGAGGGTTAAAACTGGTCAGTTAATAATGGATAATTGAGAAAGTTATACATATATATATAATACCAAAAAGCATATAATATAAAAGAAAATAATTTTATTTATGAGGGTTAAAATTGGTCAGTTAATCATGGATAATCGAAGAAGTTATCGATATACATTTATTTTTTAAACCTACCAAACATTAATACTAATTATGATTGTTTGATAATTAGAAGTTGAGACTCTAGAATCAACCTTATAAATCCGGACCAACATGCTAAATACTTTGGAATCATGCAAGACAACACCCCTTTCGAATTTTCGAGAGAAACTGAAATGAGGGAAGGGTACATACATTAATGAGACGAATAGAAGTCTTGTCAAGAATCTGCAATTGGTGTTTTGCAAATATATTCTTACAGTATAATCTTCTTCTTCAACTCGCAACTAATTAATGAATGACCTCCACCAACATGGATATTTCGTGAACAATCCACGTTTCGAAATTTTCTTATTAATTTCCAGTCTCAGAACAAATTAAAAAATGATCATAAAAATAAATAAAATTTTTTTTTTTCATGTAGTATTTGCTGACACGATTGGACCAAAAATGCACTGTATATCTGGAAGGAAAACCACACGTGGGAGACAATTTCAAATTCTTACCACAATATGAAAGTTAAATCTTGAATAGTATTGATACATAGGGAAATATTTCCGTTTTCTTGGTGTAGTGTGACAATGTTCAAGTCTTCAGTTATTTCTATACTAGTTTGACAGTGTAAATAATAGTGAAATATTAAAATTTATAATTATTTCTAATTTAGAATTTTTATAGAAAAGTGGTGTTCTTATTGACAATATTGGTCATATACAGGTGAGCAACCTTTGTTAAGAAAATGCTTAAAACCTATAGCCCAATGATTGAACCCAATAAGCTGAGCCCAAGCTTATGACCCGGTTTGCCCCCATTCTGTGCAAACTCGTGTTCCTCCAAAATGCGATTCTATTCAATTTTAATTGGACGGAGCAGATTGTGCCAAGTGGAGTTGGCTAAACCGTTGGATGAATATGGCTTTTCATTATACTAACCCTAGACTTTTCATTTGCGTCAATTGGAGAGTCTTCTAGGGTTTGTTCTTCGTATTTGCTCTCTGTAATTTTCTTCTCTCTAAAAACCCTTGGTTTTTGGTTAGAATCTCTGAGTTGTTTTAGATGCTCTTCGTGAGATCTAGCTTGGTGTACTTGTGTAGAGATTGTGTCTGTTCTTTGGTGAACTGTAAGGCACGATTACTTGGTGTAATCTGTCGTTCGTGTTTGTGAGAGAAAAATATGGTCTGAGGGCTGATCTTTGGTAGATCTGAAGTTTGTAAACTTGTATTGACACTCTATTGTTGGTTTCTAGTGGATTAGAGCGTTAATCACTTCGGTGGAAGCTCAACGTGGTGACGTAGCCCATTCTTGGGTGAACATCCGGGCCTACGGGCGAAAAATCATCGTGTTCTTTTAATTTCTGTGATTTTATTTCGAGTATTGGGACTGTTAATACCAACAGTGGTATCAGAGCATCGTCGATTTGATATATAATTCGGTTCTTGGCTCACTGGAGCTCTTCTTGACGGTTAAAAACCATTACCTTTGTGGTACTACTTCTGTGAGCGTTAGATTCACTGTTTTCTGCTGGAAAGTAATATAGTCCTGGTATTCACTATTTTACACTATTGGCCTAAGACGATTTTGGTAATGAGTTTTTAAACCCTAAACCTAATTTTTTTCGATTCTTCAGATAACTCTACTGTTCTTGGTTGAAGGCCCACCTGGATCTACCTTTGTCTAGAGTTTCATACGAGAACCCTAGAATTTGAGAGGAGTGGGTTTAACGGCCTCTTCAAGATTAGATCTTAAATTTGTTGACTGAAAATAATTGTTTTATGGTTTATTAGTTATATGATTTACCTGCTCACTGTGTTGTATATTCTGTGCACTTGTGTGAGAGTCATTTGTACACTAATACTTTGTGTATACATTGGTGCATATAAATTTTGTTTACATTGCATATCACAATCTGCTTTGGTCAAACAAGTTTGTTTAAAAAAAAAATTCAAAAATAATGACAGGTACTAAAGTTGATATAGAGATTTGGAATGGAAAAGGGGATTTTACTCTTTGGAGTCAAAAGATGAAGGCACTTTTGATGCAACATAAGTGTGTGAAAGCACTGGATGAGTCTTGGGAAGAAGAAGTCATAGAAAGAAAAAGAAATGAACAAAGTGATACTGCATGGAGTTTGATTTTCCTACATTTGTCTGATAGTGTCATTATAGAAGTAGAAAAGACTGAGACTGTTGAAGGAATTTGGACTAAACTTGAATCACTTTATAAAACAAAATCACTCCCCAATAAATGTTATCTTTGGAAACAATTCTTTAGTTTCAAATTTGATCCACATCTTGATCTTGAAGCAAATCTTGCCAGATTTAACAAATTAACTCAAGATCTCACAAACAGTAGTGAAATTTCTGATGAACAACAGGCAGTAGCCTTATTATCTGTTTTACCTGAAAAATATAAAGATTTAAGAAATGCTCTTGAATATGGAAGAACCTCCATTACTGTGGAGATTATTGTTACTTCTTTAAGAAACAAAGAACTGGAGTTTCAAAGTGAATCCAAATCTTCCTCTATTGGTTTTGGTTACAATGTCAGAGGAAATAATCAATTCAAAAGAAACAACAATAACTTTTCAAATAAAAATTTTGGAAAAACAAAAGAATACAATGGAAATTTTGATAAAGGTAAAGCCAAATTCAATTATAATAATAATAAGGCAAAAGGAAAGAAATGCTACTTTTGTGGAAAGATGGGTCACTTTATAAAAGACTGCATGAAAAGGATTGATGAACTGAAAAACATCAACAAAATTGAAGGTGGAGCTGCAATTGCTTATGAGAAAGCTGCGGGCTCAAATGGACAAGTCTAGGTGACTAGTCAATCTATGGTCAAGGATGAATGGATCCTTGATTCAGGGTGTATATTT